TATTACATTTTAAGTTGAAGTAACGATGTTGAAATATTTATGCGATTGCTAATGTTCATCGCAGCAGTCACTCAGAAAACATCGCATAGCTGTTCCAATGTAATGTTTATACCACATGAAAATGTAAANATGCTAACTACTAAATTCATCTCTATTCTTTATTAATAACTACATTAATATATTTATAATTCCAAAAAACGTCGTTGAAATATTTTTGCGATAGCTAATGCTCATCGCAGCAGTCACTCAAAAAACATCGCATAGCTGTTCCAAAGTAATGTTTATACCACATGAAAATGTAACAACTCGACAATATTCCCAAATAACAAACAAAATATTAAAAATACGAGAAATAAAAACGCAAACAATCTGAATACAAATCTACTATCCATTTCATGTATATATAAGTTAACAAATCAATTTCAAAATATATATTATGTATGTATATACAGTGACATTTCGAAATTGTGCTTTTTAATTTTAATTTTTCATTTTAATCTGCCTACGGATATGTTATAATATTATACATTGTATTGCGCTGCAGTGATATTACACCCGTATTATACTTGGTTTTTCGCGGTAAATGTCCGACGAAATAATTTCCGACAATGTATACGTGTATTTATCGTTATACAAACATGTACCGCACGGTAAAACAACAAGAGGATTTTTTTTTATGCGTATTTTTCTAACATTATAATTATTATTAACAACGAATGAAGTGACGGCATTATTATTTTTTTTTTCCATCTCTCGATATAAATTTCTGTTAACCGACAGCAAATCGTCGGGTAATGACGAATTCGTATCAGATATTATGTTTGTTTTTGTCAACGGTGGCGACATAAAACTATAATAATAATAACATTTAATTATTAAACATAATACTATTTGAAAATAGAAAACGGCGCAAAAAAAAAATACGGCGCGTTAGATAAATGTCGTCGCCGAGATGAAAACTTTGACAGTTCTCAAAAACAGAGAATATCATCGCGGCTTCGAATAATGGTTTACCCCGCAGATCTCTTCAGGTTTCAATTGATGTATTGTCTACGGAAGATAACGACGGTAAAATAACATTATAATAATGTAGGCTATACATAGAGGTGGTCGATTTTGACTCATTTCGATTAGTTTGATAACTCTCGGAAAAACTTTCTATATACATTAGGGTGTTTCTAAAAAAAAACAAAAATCAAATATTCAACACTATTTCAGCTTAGTAAATACGTTCTTGAGTTCCCCCGTGACGACGTAAAGTTTCCTATTTAACAAAACAATGTATTATTTTCTTAAAGGGGAATAAAATAATTAAAATACATCAGGTATTCCATGTCACTTTCTCACTGATAACTATTAATTTTTAGCATAAGACAAAAATTCTACCGTCATTCAGACACGCACATATAGGTACACGTCAAAATAATAAACGCGTTTCTCGACGAGATATTTAAATTGGATTAACCACGAACGGGAAAATCGGTATTATTATTAATTTTGTTTTTCCTAAGACGATTCTCAGTGTGCAAAGATATATTCCACACATGTGCATACGATGTTACACGGGAACCTGGAACATTACATTTTAAGTTGAAGTAACGTTGTTGAAATATGTATGCGATAGCTAATGCTCAACGCAGCAGTCACTCAGAAACCATCGCATAGCTGTTCCAATGTTATGTTTATACCACATGAAAATGTGACAACTCGACAATATTCCCAAATAACAAACAGAATATTAAAAATACGAGAAATAAAAACGCGAAAATTCTGAATACACAGCCGGGTATCGAATTTGGAACCCTAACCTAATTAACGTACCGCCTAACCTACTAGCCTACACCTACCAACTACAAATCTACTATCCATTTCATGGATATATAAGTTAACAAATCAATTTCAAAATATATATTATGTATATATATACAGTGACANTTCGAAATTGTGCTTTTTTTGGCAATAAGGATAGTTTACACTTATGACTTACCCTATGATTCTTTGGGTCAGCATAGGGGAAATATCTGTGGGGGGGTAAGGTTAATTTCAAAATTTCGGACTTTTTTGGGAACAGGGAAATTTAACTCCAAGCTGAACCACTACTGAATAACGGTCATAAGTGCCCTAAATAAGTGGACACGGGGGGCACGTGCACTCCCCCCCTCCCGAGTTTTGGTATTTTATTGGTTATTTATTTTGGTAGGTATAGTCTAGTTAATCATTTAAAAATTAGGTAATATAAAAATGAATAGTGCACCCCACTAAAAAAAAATTTCTTGGTTACGGTACTGACTCACCCTTATACAGTGATCAATCAACCATGAGATACTAATTATCTCGGAGAGTGTTTACTTTTTTTAGAATTTTGACAATTTAAGAAACAAAAACAGCTCTTAAATGTTACATACTTACATATCCATTTTTTTTATCAACTTTGTTTTTAGGAGTGAACGTTTGAAGAGGCTAGGTACTTAATTTTTGATTTTTAAATGACAGCCTATATTGAAAATGCCACACATAGATGGAGTATAAGTTTAAAAACATTATTTATTTCCGTAAATCTGTTGACGAGATAAGCCACTTGTATGTGTTGGAAGGGGGAGAGTTGTAATAAGGAGAGTAGAAATTGTTGAACACATTTTGATATATGAGAACAAAATCAATAAATTAAAATTAAGTATAATACCAATAATCAATATTAAAGGTAATGTAGGTAGGTACCTATGTATATATAATTATTACTAACTACAGTTTAATAAAAATTAATTTATTCTATATTAAAATACTAACCAATTATGAATGATGTACATAGTACATATATTTATTTGCGACTTTAAAATGCATTAAATTATATTTTTACATAAATATACAATTAAAAAAGAAAATGAAAAAAATATATATTATTCAATGTAACAATGTGTCAGATCCATAATAATAGCTTTAACTGTACTAATTGAAATTACAAAGCATTTATTCTTTATTTCATCAAGACCTATTGAAAAACATTCAGAATATTGTTTATCTGCTATAAATGAACCGAACACTGAGAAATTAACGGGGGTCATATAAAATGGTGAAAACTTTAAAATTGTTTACACAATTAATTTAATATTGGTTGTATGGTGTTGCTTTACTATGTGTTTCACTCTGACAATATAGTTATTTTTTAAACTTATATATTTATCGCTTTCCTTTTCAATCATTTAAAATAATTTCTTTGAAAAGCTTATCAATTAGATTAAAATGTATAGTTGATTTACAATTTTCTAATTCTTTTTCACATGTTATAGAATATTGTGATTCTATTAGGCTAACATTTTTTGTTTTTCAATAAACTAATTAAAAATTTCTGGAAGAGGATATCTAGAACATTAAATGGAGAATTTCACATATTGTAATTAATTTTCATAATTAAAATAAATGAAACTGTCTAATGGACCATGCATTTTAACAAACATAGGGAGATGCAATAAACTGTGTATATTATATGATATTAGGGGATCTCCATATAAATAAGAATATTGAGAAATACATTTTTTAAAAAGTGTTTCTGCGAATTAATTTTGGCTAATATTGTTTTTTAATAGTTTAACACCAGAAACTAATAACATAAAATGTGTATAAAATGATTTTTTTTAATTTTCCTTTTAAAATTACTTAACCAAAATAAAGCAGGAAAAAGCTTAACTTGGTAGCTTTCCAGTAGTCAATATCATCCAACACCC